CGGCGTCGAATGAACCACGAGCTTTACAATTTATACGCGGACATCGATATAGTCAGTCGTATTGAGCTGCAGCGACTACGGTGGCTAGGCCATGTTGTGCGGATGAATTAAAATGCCCCAGCTCAAAAGGCATATAAAAATGAGCCTACTGATGGTTCCCGTAGAAGGGGAAGGCCACGAATTAGATGGAAAGATCAAGTAGAAAACAACATCTTGGAACGTGGTCTTCCAAATTGGTGGACTTGCGCACAAGAACGACGCGCTTGGAAATCTTTTTTAAGCTCGGCTTATGGAAACACCTTTCTGTAACAAGCCAGCTAAGTAAGTAAGCTATATTATTGTAAATTATCTGTCAGTAGGTGCTTATCTTTTGGGAAAATTAAATTCCTATACCAATTTACACACAGGTATTATTATTTTTATTGAGAGGTACCAAAGAGAGTGCAACGGTGGTTTATTACAATTTACAATGTTTTTTTTTTAATCGGACGTTCAATTCGCTTGATATTAGATTAACAAATTTCAAAAATGTTGAAGCTTTGGGGGAAGTGCCTGAAGGACTAGACACACGGGTCCTATCTTCGGACATAATCTATGTTCGGTAAAAATATTACGTTGTGCAATGTTTCGATGAAATATTTTCAATATTTTCACCCTTTGTGGCGCAGGCACCTAAAGAATAATAAAAGGATAAGCTAATTAAGCTACTGGGCTCTACCGATTTATAAAGGTTCTAATCCTTTTCCTTTTAAATTTTAATAATTCATGAAAAAGAAATATATTTTTTAGCTATTTTAATAATAGGAACTTTAATTGTTATCTCAGAAAACTCTTGAATAGGAGCCTGAAGAGGTTTAGAAAAAATAATTTGTTGGCGTTGCGTAAGCTAATAGCTTATTCTTCAATTAATCATTTAGGCTACATACAATAGAAATATTTGATTATTATATTTTTTTATTATATACTTTTTTTTAACTTTTTCTATAGTATTTATGTTTAATATATTTAAGATTTCTTATATTAATAAATTATTTTCATAATTTTGCTATGAAAAAAGTATTAAATTTTTCTTATTTATTATCGGTTCGAACGATATTATAAAATTTAATTTCAGCATATATATATATGGTCAATATATAAATATGGTCAAATATTCTGGGGAAGGTACACGAAGGAGTCGATCGATATTCCCCATTTGTCAATCGCCTTCAAATTGTCTGAAACGTATTGTGTCTAAGGAAACATGGGGTCTAAATCCAATATTTGGATGAGCACATTTTTGCCGTATCAAAGCCATAAGGCTGAGGACATAAAAATTATGCATATGGACAATTTTCAATGTAGGTACAGGTCGCCATATAAAGGTCGCGGATCATTTTAGCAATTTTGATGATTATGAGCACATTTAGCAAACGATTAAAGACCTCTAGAAGGAGTTTAAACCCCATATTTCGATGGTTACAGGGTAAGTATGTTTATTGCCTAGTCGTCTGTTCATCATCAGCCATAAGGCTGAGGACATAAAAATTATGCATATGGAAAATTTTCAATATAGGTATAGGTCACCATATAAGGTCCCGGATCATTTTAGCAATTTTGATGGTTATGAGCACATTTAGCAAACGATTAAAAACCTCTTGAAGGAGTTTGAACCCCATATTTTGATGGGTATAGGGTAAGTATGTTTATTGCCTAGTCGTCTGTTCATCATCATGTATTCATCATCTTCTGTGAGATACACTTCACTCAACGCAGAATAACAAATGAAAGTAGCAAATTTATAGACAAAGTTAGCTACATAATTTAGCTGAGTCGGTTGTTCGAACATTTACTGCTGCCATGGCTTAAGCTAAAATGCGATTTTTTTGCAAAACAATGCGAAATAAGAAAAAAAGCATGAACAAGTGGTAGTAGTAAAGATAAAAAAGCAAATACAAAATGTGAAATTAAAAGAAAACTATGTCACACGCCAACCTGAAGAATTAGCTGTAGCATAAAATAGTAGCTTGGAGTAGTAGTAGTAAGTACACTTTTGCTGCAGCAGATCGAATACAACAGATTTCCATTGCCGCAAAAACAAAACGTTTTCGAGTGAAGAAAGCCAGTCATCAAGTCGAGCAAAACGCATTTTCAAGTAAAATATACACATAAGTATGTATGTTTGTAACAAAAAAGAAAAAAAAAAAATAGTGTGGATGATGATGATGTGGAAGCCTTTGAAGTGTTGAATTGTCGCCATGTCATGTATGTAGTATGCATGTTCGCAGTGACCGGCCACGGGAAATATACAAAACTTTGCTAGAGGTGGCTTGTGATTTTACCTATAGTTTTATATGTTTGTATGTTGTTTTTGCTTCTCTGATAAAGGATAGACTATTTAAATCCATTTAATGAGTTCTGTTTTAATTGTATTAAGAAATTGTTTAACATTTGGGAATTGTTTGTTGATATCTATGCGCTAAAAGCTTCAGCATGAAACCGGAGACCTACTTATTGTAATCGCAAAGCTGAACGAACAAACGAACGGTGAGTGAACTTTGTGGTCGGTCCCACAGATAGATAGGTAATGCGTTACACATTTTATTTCACTGTTTTCAATCTTGCCACCGCAATCTTGATTTGTCTCTTCATCTTTTTATTTGGTATTTATACGCAGTTTAATGTTTTCCTGTTTCAGACGTCTAGGTTAAAGTTACAGTTTGAAGCTGTTTACGTACAAGTTAAAGACAACATAAAACAACAAAAAATGTCGTTAAGCTCGATTGGGTCGAACTTCTTACACTCTGCACCATGAGGTGGGAATGTCCCTAAATGTCCCGATCTATTGTGTTCGCATTGACGACAAGTGTTTTTCAAACGTTAAACACTTCCTCGATCGTTATCGTTGAGGGCACTATAACTCAAAAACCAATAATCCAATCGGTTCCACATTTTAACACGTTATTCTGTACATATATAGCTATCGCATTAACTAGGATAAAAACAATTCGTCAAGATCTTCCATATTTTCTAAACTCGATTTGTGTACAAAAATAGGGAATTTTTCAAAAATTTTATTTCATATTTCCGCCATTTTGTTAATTTTTGTGGGATGTTAATAATCCTAGTTCGTACCAGAGCCAGACATGTACTTTTTTCGGATGCCGTTGGAATTTTTTGGAACAGTCGAAAAGAAAGGACACCCTGAAAGGATATTGGAAAACCTTTTCTCAGGTTTATAGAAGATATTGTGAAAATATTCTTTGTATCGAATAAGCTCTACAGTGTTTTTTTTATAGATGATATAGTAAAGTGAGAGGACCTATCTATAGAAGAGCTTCTGAATGACTTTTCAGAGATGATAGTGTAGAACTATTCAATCACTTTTTATTTCTAAAAAAGCGTTTCTATCTTCTATTTGTCTAAAAATTAGAGCTAGATCGTTACCCAACGAACTAGTTCAAAGTAACCTTTTCACAAATGGAACCATCGGTACTAGTTCCTTTTGCCCCAGCAGTTAATTTTTGCTCACGTTTTCCTTGTTCCTTATGCTCCACAATCGTTCATCTAAATCTTACCGTTCATTGACCAAATTAACACAATGAACAGTTGAACAAAAATGCAACTCTGAGACTAAATGAATAAACAAGATCGAACCGAAAAATAACGAAGCGCTCTATGAATAAAACGTTTTCTAGATTTTTAAGCATATACAATTTTTTATGCCTTCAGTAGTTCTAATTGTATTTTAGAGCGACTTCTAGAAGACCAATTATATGTTCTGTCTTAAAATTTCCTTCCAATAAGAGCCGGATCGTTCCCCACCGACCTAGTTCAAAGAAACTTTTCCACGAAAGGAACGATCGGCATTAGTTCCTTTTTTTGCTCTCGTTTGCCTAGTTCCTTATGCTCCACAATCGTTAATCTATATCTTACCGTTCACTGACCGAATTAACTCAATGAACAGTTAAACAGAAAGGAACTTTGAGACTAAATGAATGTCAATATTCGAATCGATAAATAACGAACCATTCTATGAATACAAGTTTTCTAGATTTTTGAACATAAAATAAATTTTGGATGCCTTCAGTAGTTCTAATAATACTCGTTTTGCCTAGTTTCTTATGTTCCATAATCGTTTATCTAGATCTTACCGTTCATCGATCGAATTAACTCTATGAACAGTTGAACAAAAATGAACTATGGAACCAATTGACAGAGCAAGCTCGTACCGAAAAATATTGAACCACCCAAGGAACCCTTCCTTTAATAAAACGCTTCCTAAACTCAATAAAATTTACACAAGTTTCTCTATCAAATACTGGAGGATCAAACAGGGCTTTAATATGGTCGTTAACCAGAAATATGATTCCTTTAAAGCTTTCAAGGCTAAACAGAAAGTTTTACCTCGTGCATCACAGCCAGTATTCTTAAATAGATGACATAATTTTTCTATATCACTCCGACGAACATTGTTAATATATACAGCCGAAAAGAAATCATGTAAGAATGTATACAGAAGAGTTGTGTAGTTCCGGAACGAACTAAATTATTAGAACGATTCCGATAAAGGAACGATAGGAACTAGGTCCAGTTCTTTAGTTCCTTTATAGATCTCGTTCTATTCACTGTTATCGTTTCTTCAATCGTTCTGGTTCGTTTCTCAGATGATTGTTTGTTTTTTTTATCTATCAACAAACCAACATGGAATGAAAAAAAAAAAACAAAACAAAAAGAACGAAGAACAAGAGAGGTTCAAATGAACTCACTAGGAGTCTGAACTAGATGGAGCAAAGGAGCTATATTAAGGAACTAGTTCCTTTTTAAAAATGAAACAAGAACGATCGATCCGTTCCGTGAACTAGATTGCCCAACTCTAATAATTAAGCATTCCATCTAATACCCTGAAGTTTTGAAAGTCTTCTTTAAAGTATTATGTTTATAGATAACTTCAAGATTTATAAAAGATTATTTTTATTCAGCAGTGCACTAGATTATTTGTTTTTTTTTTTCATACATACCTTGGTGTGCAAGAATGCCAGACTCTTGTTGACATTTTCGATTTTATGGACACGCATGCGACCATTATTTGGCTTTCCCAGCTTTTCACCGGATATGATTTCAAGTAATTTTAACAGTTTGACGCCATCTGCTAAATCCGTAAACAGATCTTCGACCTCTAACTTTGCCTGGAAATTGTAGAGAGAGGGGGAGCGATTGAAAGAAAAATATTTCGATTAAAACATGTAAGTAATACAATAAAAAAAAAATTGTCAACTGGCAATCAATTTTGCAAAATAATTGCTTTGATTGATTTAAAACAAGAAATAAAAAATATAAACAATTGATTGCATATTTTTGCGTCCAGAGACGACGATAACCACCGATCGATCGGCCGTCCACATTCCAAACATACATACCTTTACCAGAAAGGAATTCATCCATTTTGTGAAGGTCTTCTTTTGTATGTGCAGACGTTCCTCTTGCAAAGTTTTAATTCGTTCATTTTCGAATTTCATTATGCCATCGCGTTGTGTCATGTTGGCTGTGTTGCGACTCGTCTGTGATTGCAATGAATAACCGCCCGGTTCATATTGTGATGCTGTAACCAAAACGGAGAAGGAAAACAAACATTAATAAAATGTGTGAAATGTTGATGGTGAATATAACAAATAAATTGCAATGAAAAATATATTAAATATTTATAAAGAAATAATTGCCAAATTCAAAAAATAATAACAATTCATTTCCATTTTAGCAAGTTTAAAAAAAATATTGGAATTATTTTAGTTCAAAATCCAACCGATGTTAAGTAGCTAAATTCGAAATCGTTTATACGGTACCATTTATAACGACATATCGGTTATAACGACTTATCCAAAGGTAACAACTTATCCAAAGGTCTGCCTTTATTTTGATATCGTTTATAACGACATATCCCCTATAACAACCTATTTCGCCGGTTCCTTGGCCGTCCTTATGAGCAATTTCGACTTAGTTCCAGCACTAGTTTTAAACCGTACTAGTACCAAGTTTTACCCTAAAGTAATGCAAACGTAACCAAGAAGAAGACACCTACGATCCCAAAGAAAAAAAACTACAATTTTTTTAAACCAAAACAATGGAGAGAATTCTTAAAATTTTATTTTCGAAAAACCAACAAAACCTCGTTTTGAACGATTTCTTGACAACAAATGAACCGTTATTCTTAAAAAATGGTAGTGAAATTCGGTTTGGAAAGAACCATTCTCATTGTGACCTTTTTTCCAGAAGCTGTTCGCTCTGCAAAATAAACTAGGTGTTTACTTTGGTTCCATTTTGTTCAATAGTTTCTGTCGTTCGCGGTGGAACTAAAAGAACGCAAAAATGAATGAATATGATATCCTACAGAAGGAACTAATTGAGCGGAAGCAAAAAATTAACGTCTGGAACAAAATGAACTTATTGTGATCGTTTTATTGAGAGTTGGGAAATCTCGATCTTCTTTGGTTCGCATCGCAAAAGGAACTAGATGAAGAAATCCAGTAGAGGGAATTAATTGAGCCATAGCAAAAAATGAATGTCTAGAGCAAATTGAACTTATTGTGATCGTTTTAAATAGGTGAGATATCTCGTTCCTAAAGCGGTTCGAACTTTGAAGTATTTCGCTTCGCAAAATAATCAAGGCCATTTATTTCGTTCACTGGTATACGTCAGAGTTCATTCAGTCAATTCTGTCGTTTGAGCTTCTTCTTCTAGGTGGAAGTAAAGCAAAGATAAGTTCTAGATGAACAATTGAAGGAAAAGGAACTAGCTGAACGAAAGACTTGACCTAGTACCGATCGTTCATTTTGCGGAATAGTCCATTTGAACGGGTCTGTTCCGGAGTGACTGTAGTTTTAATGAAAAATTTTAATGAATATATGGTCTGTTCCAGTACTATTTAATAGTAAAGAAAAAGGGAAACATTTCAAAATCGCTCTCTGAGTACTACTTTGTAGATTTAGTATATTCTTTTAGGTTCTGGAATGGAACTAAAGTCTTTTAAAAAAAGTAAAATTTTATTTAATTTAAATCATGGCATAATTACAGAAGGAAGTCTCATTTGAGAATTTTACAATGGCAACCCTTTTTAATTTGGAACTTATCTATCAATTTGAAATAATATGAAAAACCAGTGAGCGGAACAGTTATTTATACTCTTTCGAGTCGAGCTTAATGATCTAAGTTTTGCAATGAAAAGGAAAGCCATATGGTGGGTACGTAGGTTCTTCTCCTGGCTTTCCTTTTCATTGCAAAACTTAGATCATCAAGCTCGACTCGAAAGAGTATAAATAACCACTTAAAATTTGTATTAGTTTAAAGGTCAGCCACTCCTCTTGGATATACTATCAACTTCTCGGGTCTATGTCCTTCAGAGGTAAATCTATACGCTATAGAATACAAATTTTGTCATTTTTCACAAAAAGTCAGGGTCCATTTGACCCGCTAAATATTGAGCGATCGTCATTAAAACAGGCATCCTTATTATTTGACCCAATCTCCTTCTCCAAGTAAAAAATTATGGCATCTGGAGCCAGAAAATCAGACAAAAATAAAGTTTTTGCTCCATTTCGTCCCTTAAATATTAGCCGATCTTAACCAAAAACAATATGGTTCTTCATTGGCCAGAACCCATCCTACGTGCAAAATTTCGTGAAGATTGGTCTATAATTGTTGCCTGTATCGTGTTTACAAATTATAATGGACAGACCGACGGACGGACACACATGTCTAAATCGACTCAGCTAGTCGAGATATTACGATCGGTATACTAAATGGTGGGTCTAGGACCAATATTTCGCAGCGTTACAAACTTTTGGAGCTGCACAAAGCTATAATACCCTGACAAAATAGTTGTGTAGGGTATAATAAATTCTTTAAATTTTATGTATGTCGATTGGCATATTTTCAATAAATTAAACAAAATATATTTTCTACAAAAAAATCGTTCAGAATATTTATAAATAATAATTTGTAATTAATTAAATAGAGTAATCTCTACCTTATCATGTGTTTTTGAAAGGTGTTTTTCAATTTTTATTTTAACTGTGAGGTAATTTTCTAAAATAAAACCAAATTTTTTTGATAAAAACAAAACAAAAAAATCCCCAAGCAAAAAAAAATCAACTCATTCCTTCATGGTTGACATACAAAAGACGGTGGAGGAACTTTATTTGATTTCTCGTACCCCAGACCCATAGTACAAATAGACGTCATATCTTTGGGTTTGGGTTTTTGACAAATTGAGTTGTTATTGTTTTCGTTTTTCAAGGTTTCCTTAAAAAAAAACAACGATTTAAATTTCATTTTGTAACCTAGAAATAAATTGAAATACCAAACATTCTTATCTTTAGATAAGAGTGTTGGAAACCGAACGACGGAACTATCGCAACAAAATCCAAAAGAGCGAAGCGGTCTATTTTTCCGTTTTGAAATCATTTAGAAATTTGTTTTTTCGTTTTTTTTTTGAGCAGGAAATAAATTCTTAGGGTATTTAGTCACATTACGAAAATGTCTATTAATTAAAGTTTGATATTTTTTTTGAAAGAATAACAATTTGTGGAAACACCATAGCTTAGAGTTGAGATAGTCCATATGGCGGTATGTTAAGGGCATTGGTAATAAATTGTTCTTTGGTTTCATTTTTTCTTTTTGATTTTTTGATAAGAATTAAAGGTTAAATGTTGGCTGTTAGGTTATTCACCTGATATATTTAGCACCCGATATCAAGTGAAATATTTGCTTTCGATTAATAAAGGTGAGATAAATAAACTTACATAGTACGTGTATGGGTATTGAACTGATATTGAATTACAAGGAAAAATAATAAATACGTTCAACTTAAGGTACTTCAGAATAGCGCCTCATCCTATTCTGGCAGAATTAGAAACGTGGTGAAACACAAAAAGGGAAATCCAGTAGGCGTATAACAGAGGTGTTTGAAAAACAGAGGTATTTTTTCAAGGGCTATGTAAGGCGTGAATTTCTGAATAATTTTTTTTTTGGCTATCAAAGGCGTGCATTTTTTAAAGGATTATCAAAAATATGCATCAATTTTATTATGGCTTTTTGAATTATGCACTTTTACCTTCACTAGTCACAAGTCTTAGGGAATAAAAATGGTAAATTTTTTTAACTGACAGATTGACTGTAATTTCATATTATGGATTTTCATTGGCTGGCAAATGTTCCTACTAAAAACCAGTAGGGAAAGTAGTAAAGTCCGGCGGATGTCCTTTACCACTTTGGGTATATTGAACTGATGCATCATAACAGACAGCGTATTTTTGAAGCACCATTAACATGAAATTGGATGAACTAAACGATGTGATCTTTATCTAACTGTGAACCGACTTAGACCAATCCATAAACATGTCATTCTGCAACTTATACTAAATTTTTCATTTGTACAGATATAGAGTCGTTTGTTACAAAGGGACAACATTATGTAAATCGATTTAAATATCAATGGGACACCCGTTGATTATATATCTAAATCTGAACCGATACCAACAAAACTTGACACACGTTAGTTTTTACTAATTTCAGTGCGTTGTGCAAAATTTTGTAGCAATCCGCCTAACTTCGAGTTTTTGGCGCACAATTTACCTAAAATCGGACGAAACTATATGTGGGAGTTATATCTAAATCTGAACCGATTTCAACGAAACTTTACACATGTTAGGCTATTATAACTTCAGAACGTTGTGCAAAATATTGTCGCAATCGGACAAATATTAGAAGTTTGGTGAACCACGGAACAAACTATATATGGGAGATATACATAAATCTGAATCGATTTCGACAAAATTTGGCATACATCAATCTGGACCTAATTCTGTATGCTGTGCAAAATATTGTCACAATCGGATAAATATTTGGAGTTTGGTGCAGATTTTACCTCAAATCGGACGATACTATATATCGGAGCTATATATAAATCCGAATCGTTTTTCTCCAATTTCAATCCGGTTCGCCCTTGCATCATATAAGTGACCTTTGCCAATTTCATCCAATTCGGATCGTAAATGCGACCGTACAATTTGTTTACAATTTAACATGGACAGACGGACGGACATGCCTAAATCGACGTAGAATGTGTTTTTATGCATATGCTACTTTACTGAAAGACATAATACTCCGTACCAAAGTGTGGTGAAGGAATCAACTCTGATCCACATTTTAGTGTAGCCTTCCTCCGAAATTTCGGTATTTTGAGGTGTATTGGGCACATTTTTCAATCGAAATGACCATCATTTTATATTTGAGATTCGAAAATTATCAATATTGTCACAAGTTTCGTGGTACGCTCCATATAACGTAACCTTTCATTATTCAGTATTTTAGGTAGGTTTTTCAATCCAGATCTTCGGTGCTGGTGGGCGCATTTCCGCCTGTGGCTCAGCCACTGTGAGGTAGGCCAATAGGCAGGTACTCACACAAAACTCTTCAAGATACTGTGTGTCAATATTATCAAAATTGGGCCAAGTTTCGGTGTAGGTTGCATATAAGCATTCCACTGATAATTCAGTATTTTTTCCGGATTTTGGACATTTGTTCCGAACGAATTTGCTCTAATTTTATAGTTTGAGGATCTCATTTGGTAAAAAAATCTTCCTACAAACGGTTGTTGATATTGATCCACTATTTAGGAAAAGTTTGGGGACATTTTTGAACCGAATTGCCTGTAAGTAGTAACTTAGGTCAATTTTTTTATTCCTATTTAGAATTTCCATACCTAGAATTTTCAATATTGATCTATTTTTAAGGGTAGCCCCCCATATAACGGTACCTATCAAATTTCGGTATTTTGGGGATTTTGAGTACGTTCACCTACCGAATTTTCTATATTTTGATATTTTTGGATCTCATTATACCTGTTCTGATTTTGATATAGCATCCATATAACAATATGCCAATTTTTTGGTATTTTGGAGATTTCGGTATGTTTGGAGATTTATGATATGTCGTCTTCCACCGGCAGCAATTTACCTTGACGAAATTAAACAGGTTTTTATTCAATTTTCATTATTAATATGAAATAAAATTCCCTTAATTTATCTCTACAACTGAAATTTTTCTTCGAATGCCAAAATAAAATTTCCTATTGAAAATCCCTGCACTAGAAACTCTGTACTTCCGATAACTATTTCCCAAATCTTCTTGATTGGAAAACCATACATAAAATTTTCTTATTATTTTTTTTAATATAATTTTTGTTTCATTTCTTTTCTACATTTTCTTATGAACAAAACAAAAAAAAAAACATAACCTTGACCAAAAATTAAAAAAAGAATAGCAATAACAAAATGTTCCACAACTCTACGAATGCTACTGCAAACAATACGAGCTTTTTTCCACTCCACAAAATGACAAAATAAATAAATAAAAAACAATAAAAAATATTCTAGCATGACGTTATTTGGTGGAAGGCGGGCGATAATAAATGTTAACTAATTAAACTGAAAATTGAAATTGAATAATTTGTAGAGCAAATATTCATATGTGGTAGTGGTGGAGAGAGTGGTTGCTGGGAATTGTGTACATGGGTATGCAATGTCGGTGCGGTATTGTGTGAGTAGTAGAATGCAAACACTTCGCGTTTTCGATTTAATTAGGCACAACAGTTAGAATATGGATGAGTTGTCAGAGTTATAATGTTTTATAATATAGGGTCTTGGAACACTTCTTGTGATCTGTTTACGGAAATATCTATTTGCTGCTTCAACAACGCAAACAAATTAGATACACAGGTCTCTGTAGAGCTCCTAAAAAAAGAGAAATCGTCTATAGGTATTTTCAAGATCAACAAAAGGTCATTCCGCAAAATCGCCAGTTTTTAACTTTTTTCGAAAGAAGAAGTCATAAATATTTGAAATAATCTGTCATCTTTTTTTAATCACAAATTCAAAATGGAAAAAGAGTGTCATTTAAATTTATCTAATGACTTAAATAATAAAAGAGAGACAAAAAACAGAAATTGAAATTTTATCAAACTTAATACAAACAAATAAACTTGAAATTATTTTTTTTTTGTTTTCTTACATAACTTCAAGCAAATACGAATACGTATGTGATGATAAGGCGGCCACGCCAGCCCTTCATTGTTCAGTTCTTTCAGTGTCACACACAACGTACATATTTACTTTCAATTCACACTCATTTTTTTTCATTTCGAATTCATTAATTTCGTCACATGTATTTTCAAACACGGCGGAACGTGTGATTAACTGACAAATATTTTTTTTTTTAAATGCCCAAAAAGAGTAAACTCTGGCAGTATAAATAAACGAACACCCGGTTAAATTAAAATCGGTGTATTTCAATGGAAAATTTGGCAAAATGTTATGGGTGGAGAATTTTTTTTAATAGGGAAATAGGTGTAGCTGTTTTTACCCATTGCCAATAAATTGGGTTTTATAAAAGTTGCAATTATATATACCCAAATAAAATCGGCACATAACATATTATCCTCAGCCTATGACATATTACTCATTTTCTGCATGATCGGTATGGTGATAGATGGATCCCATAATCGAGATAAGTTACTTTATACAATTGTTATTTTATACAAATAATTTTCAGCAAAATTTTAATAATTTTTTTGGGGAGTTATCAGAAGGAGGTATTTTTTTCCTCCAAAGGTCTTACACAAAGCATGGCCATCTTTGTGTGATAGTTTCATTAATCATTGTCCTTTTTCCAGCTAGGTTTATGATTTGTCTGCTGTAACCTGGCCTAGGTTGTGGGAGCGCCATCTATCGCCTAGCGCCTAGAAACAACGGCAACAAAATGTTATATTCTATTAATAATAGACCATATGATTGGAAGTCAAATATATCTTTTTGTACTATATAGTTGGTTAGTAATTTATCCTCCTCATCAGTAAGTTGATAAAACGAATAATCAAACAAAATTTCAATATCAAGCAGCAGCTTAAAATTTAGAGTGGCGATTTTATGAAAAATGAAAAAAAACAATCATTTCCAATTAATAAATGATGACCATGGAATCCTGTTGCTATAAAACAAAACCACAAACTGAATCAGCAATTCTGAATGGAGCTTCAAGATTGAGTAGTTTGAAAAATGATTTCTTCCATTAACAGTAATTCCTGATGTTAATAAAATTTCGGTATTAAATAAATTATTTTTCGTAGTAATCTGTAGTTATGGGTACTCCATTCACTGTGTTATTTTATACAGCTATTTTTTATGAAAGATTTTTACAATTTTCTGGAGATGTAGCAGAAGTTGGGATTTTTCTTTCTTCATTGCGTGTTAGTTTCGTTAATCATTGTCTTCTTTTGTTCCAGCTAAGTAGATAATTGTTCTACTGTAGCCTGTCCTTGGTGAATGCCATCTATCGTTGCCTAGAAACAATGCCTTTTTAAAGTTTATGCATTAGTGTCGCCATTTCCCTAGGGGTGGCGCAATCTCCTATCATTCCTATGATGTGTTATCCTCATGTGTTGATGTTGACGGCGCGGTAGGTTATAAGCTAGGTCGCGGAGCTTCGAATGTATTTCATCTGAATTCTTCAGAAAAATTTTAACCATTTTGTGGGCATCAGAAGGAAGGATTTTTTTCTCCATTTACTTCATCCCGATAGGAGCACATAAAGCACCACCATTATGGTGTGTAAGTGTCGTTAATAATTGTCTTATTGTTCCAACTAAATAGCTGATTGATCTGCAGTAGCCTGTCCTATGTGATGAGAATGCCATCTATCGTTGCCTAGAAAACATGTCTCTTTCAATTTTGTACAGTAGTATCGGAATTTTCCTCTGGATGGCGACATCTCCTATGATTCCAATGATGTCTTATCCCCATGTTGACGCCGATTTTGGTATGTAGGGGGACTCCAAATACATTTCATCTGAATTTTTCAACAAGATTTTAGCCATCTTGTGGGTAGGTATCAGAAAGTGAAATTTTTTCTCCTGTTACTCCTCTCGGGAACTAAGGGCTTCAATAAAACATATCCATCTTTGTGTTTTAGTTTCGTTAAACATTGCATTTTGTGTTCCAGTTAAGTAGATGGAACGTTGTTACGATATCATAACAACAGAGCGAACAATATTAAACATTCTAAGCGCTATATAGCAAGCTTATTAAATAAACAAATATATTTTGAGTGCAGATCTCTGATTTTATTTACATTTTATAAACACATTATGGCGTATTGGCGTTTTTATTGTAAACATGCCTCTGTTATACCTGATTCCCCCTGGATATTTTTTTATAAACTATTTTGTCAAAATGCATTTTGTCGAGTCTTTACGGTTTCTATGTCTTTGTGGTTGCTCTGCTGTAACATTGTTCCAGGTTATGGGAATGTCATCTAGCGCTGCCAAGAAACAATGCCTTATTAACTTGTGTGCAGTAGTGCCGCTATTTTCCAATGGGTGGCGCTATCTTCTATCATTCCTATTTCTTGCTATGTTGGGGGGCTTCGGATGAATTTCATCTGAAATCTTTTTATTCCTGTTACTGCTCGGATGAGGCAAAAGACTTCGACAAAGCATCGCCATCTTTCGTTTGTTAATTTCGTTAATGATTTTCTTTTTCGATTGATGTGGCCTGTCGTATTTGATGGGAATGAAATCTTCCGATTTTTGTACAAAAGTGTCGACAATCTCCTATAGCTGGCGCTATCTCATGTCATTCCTGTGTTGTGTTATCCTCATGTGTTGATGTTGAAACCGTGATTTTTCGCCTTGCTACTTTTTACTCAGATGAAACTACGTGAAAGTTAAGGTTTATGTCAATAGCCCAGCGAAGATTTAAGGCTTCAAAGATAGAATTCGTGAGGCTATCGAAGACATCGGGTGATTTAGTTATGCAAAATTACATGAAGGTCATTACATGACCTATAAGCGTGCCATTATGGCAGCCAATCTGCTATAAGATGGAGTGATCAGAATTTGCTGTCTCTAGAAATAACAATAGGGTTCGCAATATGTAAGATCTATCTTTAAGATGTACATTGCTACAGCTCATTGGATGCTTGGCATTGAAAATGGATTGGTATTTTGGATTTCGTGTTTCGACTTGGCTATAATTTGGTAAATCTTTTCACCAAAAATTACAAAAACTGATCCTCTGTTTTGGGGTAGCATTCATATAAAATGTACTTCCTAGTTTTGGATTTTTTTGGTCATTTTAAACAGGCTTCGGCTTCTCACTAGAAATTTCAATCCTACAAAGAATTATTAATATCGGTCTACCTTTTTTGTTATAGCTCCCATGTAAGGGTACGCCAATTTTTTATTTTAAATGTCCTCCTCATAATGATGGGTACAAAAAAAGTTCGATACGGCTGAAAATAACACATCTTATTTGAAAACACTGTATTTGAAAAATCTAATTGCTTCGAGTGTTGTGTGACAGGTGCTTATAAAAAGGCCAATAAAAAAGGTACGCTCTGTTACTGAATAGCCGTACTTACGAAGTTTTCAAATACAATAAAATTTTCAAAAATTTAATTCCAAAACATTTCACTTGATTTTTTTCACTAAAGATTACTTATTTTTTTGTTCTCAGATTAAATTGGAAATTGAAAGAAAACCTACCCAACGATTGACGCTCATACGAAATGTAACGGCGATATTCATGTCTACTAAAATTTGAACGCATTTTTGCGAATTATTTTTTATGTGTGTTTTTGATATGTTTCTTTGCAATTTTTAAGACATTTGTAGATTTCACTGAAACTTTTGGTTCGTTTTCTCTTCGTGTTTTGTTGTTGGTTTCTATTCGTTTTCACTTTCAAGAAGACGACGACTGCGACGTTGGTTTAACCAAAATTTTCTTTGCTCCGATCTTAACTGCCCGTTTACCGATTAACCACTGACGATCTTGATATTTTCTCGTATTTTTTTCGAAAAGAAAAAAATTAAAGTACTAAAGCTTTTTTAGCAGTCAGCTGAGTTAGTGGTAAGGGTCTTTGGGGTTCGATGGTGGAGAAGGAGGAGGCGGGTGTGAGACGATAATAAGTTCTAATTGGTTTGCGTGTGCTTTTTTTTTTTTGGTTGTGGTGGATAGCCTTAGCTTATCTATGTTAACTGAGTAAAACTTATCGCAAAGATATGAAGTGATAGGGAGAAGTAAATACATGCATACAAACATATATAAATTCACTAAAATCGATGTGAATATGCAAAAGTGAAATATGATTATTTTTTTATATTGTATTCAATTTAATTATAAAAATATAAATATATAAGTTCTATTGCAAAGTAGTTATCATTTGTTGCAGGGAGATCGAGAGAGAGAGAATGGCAGTGAGAAAAAAGTACTTGGAATTTTATCATGTGTATTGTTGATAAATAAAGTATAACAAAAATTTTTATATAAAAATAACCATAACATTTTTTTCGCCTCCTTATCTGTGTGGAACCTCCACGGCCCCTGTTGTTATCTTATCGGCCGATAACAGGTTGATTTATCAAAACCGGGCTGCATCATCAAACATGACTACAGAAATATTTTTGTATTAAATTTATGGATGATTTTTTTGTTATTGTTCGTGTTGTTGGTATTACAACAATGTACGAAACATAACTGACTTATTTTTGCAAAACCTCATTTCAATGAAAATTCTTGTGATTTTTTTTTGTTGTTGGGGAGGAACAATTTTTGGTTTTTTTATAGACATTTTTATTATCAAATAGTTTTATGACCAAGAAATGAATCAGAATTTTTGAGAAATAATGAAATTATTTGCAACAAATTTGTATTTCAATAGATAGACAAAAGGGTCGGGTGTGACTGTCAATTGCAATAAAAATTTCGGTAAAAAAAAAACATTACATTACATTACATGGTATAGTTTTTGTTTAAGCCAAAAACCACAATTTCGACGCGATCATCACGAAATTTTAAATGGAATGCCCTTTACAAATTGCAATGATTCTAGCAGCATTTTCCAACCGATGAATTTACCGCACCTGCAGTGTGGTATAGGTGTATGTATTACAATAGGATTATTTTTTTCCTATCCAGACCAAAGCCAACTGTTATTCTGCACACCATTCTTAATACTCCTGTAGCTGTTGGTCAATTAAGATGTCACATCGTTGACATTGTGTCAATTAAAAAAACACGCACACACACGTTTTTTTGCATTCGATTACATATCCCCGTAAATGCTAAAATGTACGAGGTGTGATAAAAAAATAACGGTTATTTTTAAATTTCTGGAGTTTTGTATATGGGCAATATTGCCAATTTTTTTAACATAGCTGAAGCGGAGGTTCACCCCTTTATAACTCGGGAATTACTTAAGTATATGAAAAAAGTGAATAGTTTTGGGTTAATTGGTCTGTCGTTGCAAACTGTTAATGATATTGACCTCCAAACTTTATTTTGGTGGAAGCTGTGTCTACTTTAATGTAAAAAAATGTGTAAAAACTGTTTGGGACGAACCAGTTTTTTATGATCTCTATCGATTTGTGACTAAGCCACTCATTTCACGGTCTTCGTGTCAAAGTAAAACTAGAAGCCAACAAAATGGGGACTACGCGCCTCACGTATCATTTTTCAAAATTTTAACTGCATCTACCTTCAAATGATACTGACATTTTTAAGCTCGATTTTGAGTGTATTTTTTTAATTTTACTTCTAGCTTTAATATGCCAACAGGAATTTCTAAAAATCGATTATAAGATTATTGTAGTCGCGAATCTGCGTACTTTGATATGTATTTTGTGCATGTATGTAGTATGCACAGCTTCAGAGTAATACTCATCCGATGGTGAAAATTTTGTGCGATCAAATTTCTAAAAAACCTATTTTTCGGGCCAAATTTTTAGATGTATCAACTGAATGGTCAATACGTTTTTTTATATATATATAAAATATTATTCGTGAAAATCCATCTGCTGGAACAGCGGGAACTGGCCTTTCAAAAACACGAAATTTGGCAAAAAATGTTTTTGAAAATATCGCGGATTTTTTTGCGTTTTCTGTGGATCATTTCCGCTTCAATAAATGACCTCATATGGATTTTGATCTTTTTCGAGAAGAGAACTTTAAAAACTTCAGCCGAAAGAGAGATGTACCCAATTTATCTCAAAAATAGTGCCAGCTGGCACATCCATGGTTCCTAATGCACCACATTGAAATCGGTATAGATCGATGTATTTTTTTAGGGTGCATACGAAATCGGATGCGCGCTAATGGCATATGGAGTTTTCGGAAATTATTCGCGTTTTACGAGTTTTTGGGTACTTCAATGCAACATCTAGTACATCTTAGCCGTCAAATGAAATTTCGCAAACTATATATGGATTGGAAGGTAAACTTCAGTACTTCCTGGAAACCGCATGCGCATCAAATGATTTTGAGAATTACGCGATTTAGACGCAATTTAAAATGTATATTTCATTATATTATTTTATTTTAAGATTTATTACTATTTATAGAACCCTAAGATTTATCGGAAGGGTCTTGATATAATCCGCCAGGCGTATACTTATACACAAAAAGTGATTATTATATATGTCAATTTTTCGGCGAAATTCGGGTAAAATAGCAGAATAACTCCAAAATTTTTTTCTGAAATTTCTTGTATAAAATTAAAAAAAAGAAATATGATGAAATTATTTTTTCGAACCAAAAACAAATATTTTTCTTCAATATCTTGTTTTGCTTGTAGGTAGTAAATTTCGGTGTAGACCCCATATAATGTCACCTCCCAATTCAACCAAAGAGCCTTTAATTTTTCAAACCAAATCGTCTGCAATCTAGTATTTTTTTACTCTCATTGGTAACAAATCTCCTTACCAAATGCAATCGTTGACTTGACTTAGGTTTCTATATAACGGTACTCCATATTATTCAGTATTTTAGGGATTTTTGGTACGTTTTTCAGCCAAGGATTCACCATTAGGTAGCAAATATTCCCCATAAAATACCACCTTCCAAATTTCAATATTTTGGACATTTTGTCAATCCAAGAGGCTGTCATATCGTATTTTAAGCTCTCTTTGAATAGCAAATCATCCCATCAAAATTGATGGACATTGGGACACTTTTTGGAGTAGTGCTCATACTTTCCAAATTCCGATATTTCGCGGGGTTTGGACACATTTTTCAAAACAAATTGGCTGTAATTTTTTGTATTCTCATTGGCCAACAATGTTCCATACCAAAAATTATAAATATTGACTCAAGTTTCGGTGTAGGCACTGGTACTGCCTACAAGTTTCGGTGTAGGCACTAGGGTACTGCCTATTATTTGGTATTTTAGGGATATTGGATACGTTTTTCAACCAAAGATGCTGTAATTTAAATTATTTTGAATTACCATTGAGTAGCAAATCTTCCTGCCAAAAATGAACTGAATCGTGGATTTTTTTAAAATACTTTCTCAAGGACTAGAACAAGCATAGATTTTTTATAGAATATTTTTTTTAATGATCAACAGAAGCGTCGATTTTTTAAAGAATATTTTTTTAATGATCAAGCATCAACAGAAGTCTGGATTTTTCAAGGATCAACAGAAGCCTGATTTTTTTCAAAGACCTACAAAGAAGTGGATTTTTGAACAATATATTTTTAAGGACCAACAGAAGCATGGAAAAAGTTCGGATTTTTAAAAGAATATTTGTTTAAAGACGTGAATTTTTTAGAGAATATATTTTCAATAATTAACAAAAGCATGAGTTCTTTTTAAGGATCAACAGAAGCAAAGATTTTTTAAAGAATATTTTTTCAAGAATCAACAGAAGCGTGAATTTCTTAAGGAATATTTTAGAATCAGCTTAGATTTTGTGAACAATACTTTTAAAGCCTCCACAAAAATCCACGCTTAAGATGGTCTTTTAAAAAAACCTCAGAAATTTCTGTATTTTGGGGACTTTTGGCACGTTTTTCAACCGAATTGTTTATAATATATTTTTGGGTTCTCATTGGTTGTCAAAGACCCCCTCCAAATAGTGCAGATGAATATTAGATATTTTAGATTTTCACATTAAGCAGGCGGGTGGAATGGAATGTGTTTGTGGAATGTGAAGGATCCAGATTGCCACGAAATGGTCATAACTGGTGACGAATCATGAGTGTATAGCCCAAACACAAGAAGAAGTCACAAAGGTTTTTTTCCACAAATCCCAAAACTGAAGACACCAAGGATAGCGCATTCTTGCGATTGAGGAGTACATAATTGTTCTGAGTATTGAAAAAATGACACTAGGGCTGGTTTACGCCGGACATATAACTATGGCAGTAGAAGGCCTGTTGTGAGCTCCAGAATGGAAAAAACGTTAAAAGAAGGCATCTTAAGATTTGTGTCTCCATACTTCTAGGAGTTTTGGGTTCTTAGAGAAATCATTTAGTCTTTTTTCATTCACATCCTCTTTGATCGTGCAGTTCGTGAATAGTATAAATTCGCATGAATTGGGTTCGAAGTTTCATAAAAGCTGCACAGTGGCATAGGAAATGTTGCAACGATTTCGCTGGGCAACCCCCTACACGTTCTCCACCTGCAGCTGGCATACCTTAGGGCTACTGCAGCAGTGATAGCTGTGTAGGTTATCTTTGACTCTGACATGCTCTGAAGTACGACATGATTTATTCAAGTGAGAAATCAATTTCTCACATAAATAATTGTGGGAAATTGATTTTGTATCTGTGACATATATGGGCATTTGAAAACGATTATTTCTTTATTTTTCAACAACTTCTGGAACCAATTGGATTAAATGATACCGGTGTTAACTTGGCCATAACTCAATTTAAAACGGCTTATTTTTTATTTTCCATTAATTTTGGGAACCAATTCGCTGAGATAATACCGGCGGTATAGTTGCCCAAAACTCAATTTCATTATGACTAAACCGATAATGCAACGTTTCGAATTTATTCGACGTCTAATACGACTGTGTTCGGCATTTTGTGGAGCCGATGTTTTCAAATTAAATTATCGTGTGAATTTTCTAACGGTGATTGTGTTCACGTGTATATATGTGTATTTTGCCTGTACCTGCTATACGGTCTATAAGAATATCTATATCGATGGCGAATGGACCCATATGCTGAAGACTCTGTGCATGATTAGCAGTGGATTGCAGGTGGGTATGGGGTGTAACAATAATTTGATTCACCATTTCATTTGTTGCATCGATTTAGGGATATGCGAAATTGGTGAATGCCATTTGGAATAAAACGCATTTGCGCTATTTAATGGACGAACTGTACGAGATATACAAGGACTATCTGGATAAAGATCATATCGATTATCGAAGATGTTTGGGCAGGTGCATAAATTCCACCGTAAAAGGTATCCGACTACTGACATTCATATATATTATGGCTGTCGGTTGTCTCATTGTTATGGTGCTGGTCTACCGATTTGCCTTCGATCAACGTATCTTTGTGCTGCAATTTGAAATTCCTCGCGTGGATATCAACACCGAACATGGCTATTTGATTACGAATTGTGTACATAGTGTTTGCATAATGTTTGGGGCCTTTGGCAATTACGCAGCCGACATGTGTTTCTTCACATTTGTCAATCATGCTGTCCTGTTCAGGGATATTCTAAAGTGTAAATTTCGCGATTTGAATGATGTGCTCGAAGAACCCGCAGATGCAGCGGCACGTTGCCATACCTTGATCCAAGATATTTTTCTGTGGCATCAACGCTATATTAGGTTAGTAGTGACCGGATACTTAGTGTCATTTAAACGTTAATTTTTTCGTTTACTTCTTCAGATACATCGAAGTCATAAAGGATAATTATTTTTGGGTGATTGTTGTGGAAATGTCCACAGTGGCTTTCAGCATTGTATTGACTTTGTTTTGTTTGATTTTGGGCAGATGGCCGGGTGGACAAACATATTTGGCTTATTGCTTCATTATGATGTATCTTTACTGTGCCATGGGCAATGTGGTCGAAGTAACGGTAAGCTTTTCATCGAGATCGATAAATGGCATTAACAAATTGCCATTTTGTATTATTTTTGTTTTTTTTTTTTTTTTTTTTTTTGTAGAATACGGGCATTGTTGAGGCCTGTTATAATGAAGTGCTTTGGTATAGACTACCATTGGCGGATCGCAAAATGTTAAAATTTATGTTGATGATGGGCCAAAAAACCGATGGTATCACAATTGGTGCCGTTATCCCTCTAACAATGGCTACCGCTTTGGATTGGACGAAAAAAATCTACAGCATGACCATGATGTTGATCAATTTCTTAGACAAAGACTAAAAAATTTTGTTGTTGTTATTGTGTTTTGAATATAGACTATATGATTTGTTGTTGTGAAGAATACAAGAATGTCCTAAAGTGGACCTTACAAAAAAACTTTATAGTGAAACATGAAGAAATGTCGTTAAGTTTGGACTAGCTGCACATTCAAAATACCTATAACAAATCGGAACTATGCTATGCTAGAAGAAAATTAAATACAGACTACAGGTTCATACAGACTCAGGCTGGAAAATTGGGCTAAGCGGACTAAGAGGATCATACCTAAATCCTGAAAATACCAAAAATTAGGGGCACCATTATATTGGGATTATTTCAAATAGAGGAAATATATTTATAATTTTTGGTAGGAAGATTTAGAACCGAATGACAACCCAAAATATTAAATTAGAAAGATATTCAAAAATATACTTAAAATACCGAATAATGGTAAATCCACGCTTAAAAAAACTGCCAAATTTCGTTATTTTGGGGATTTCGAGCAGGTTTTTTAATCGAATTGGTTTTGGGTTTTCATTGGTTGTCAAGGTCCCCCTTCAAATAGTTCAGATGCATATTAGATATTTTGAATTTCCACCTTATGCTGGAGGGTATACAAATTTCGACCTGAAGGAACTTAAATCCCAAACACAATAGGTTTTCTCACAAACCGTTTAATGCCTATACCATCGATTGCATCTGATTTTTTCCCTTTCCCAAAACTGAAGACACCAAGTAGAGCGTTTTATTGCGATTGAGGATTACAGAATTGTTCTGAGTATTGAGCTTAAACAGCGGGGTGGCAGTGACAGGTGTGTGGGTTATCATTGACTTTGACATGCTCTGAAATATGTCATGATTTATTTATGTGAGAAACTAAGTTCTCACATAATTAATTGTGGGAAATCGGTGTTGTATCTGTGACTCATATGGGCTTTTGAAACAGGTTATTTTTTTATTTTCCAATAGCTTCTGGAACCAATTCGCTGAGACAATATCGGTGGCATAGTTGTCTAAAACCCGACTTCATTATGACTAAACCGATACTGCAACGTTTCGAATTTGTTCGACGTCTAATACGAATCTGTTCGGCATTTTGCGGAGCTGATGTTTTAAATTTAAATTATCGTCCGAATTTGTTAACGGTGATTGGGTTCACGTGCATATATGTGTATTTTGCCTGTACCTGCTATACGGTCCATAAGAATATCTATATCGATGGAGAATGGACCCATATGCTGAAGACTCTGTGCATGATTAGCAGTGGATTGCAGGTGGGTGTAACAATATTTTGAGGCTACTCTTTATCTTATTTGTTGCATCATCGATTTAGGGCTATGCGAAATTGGTGAATGCCATTTGGAATAAAACGCATTTGCGCTATTTAATCGACGAACTGTACGACATTTACAAGGACTATCTGGATAAGCATCATATCGATTATCGAAGATGTTTGGGCAGGTGTATAAATTCCACCGTCAAAGGTATCCGACTGCTGACATTCATATATATTATGGCTGTCGGTTGTCTCATTGTTATGGTGTTTGTCTATCGATTTGTCTTCGACCTGCGTATTTTTGTACTACAATTTGAAATTCCCCGCGTGGATGTCAATACCGAACATGGCTATTTGATTACGAATTGTGTACATAGTGTTTGCATAATATTCGGAGCCTTTGGCAATTACGCAGCCGATATGTGTTTCTTGACAATTGTCATTCATGCTCTCCTGTTCAGGGATATTCTAAAGTGTAAATTTCACGATTTGAATGAGGTGCTCGAAGACCCCACAGATGCCGCGGAACGTTGTCATACCTTGATCCAAGATATTTTTCTGTGGCATCAACGCTATATTAGGTTAGTAGTGGCCGGATACTTAGTACCATTTAGTAATTTTGAACGCTATGTTTTTTTTCTCTTACATCTTCAGATACATCGAAGTCGTAAAGGATAATTATTTTTGGGTGATTGTTGTGGAAATGTCCACAGTGGCCTTCAGCATTGTATTGACATTGTTTTGTTTGATTTTGGGCAGATGGCCGGGTGGACAAACATATTTGGCCTACTGCTTCATTATGATGTATCTCTACTGTGCCATGGGCAATGTGGTCGATGTAACCGTAAGCTATCCATGGAGATCAAGATATAACTCCAGGACCAAATGGGATTAACAAATTGTCATCTTGTACACTTTTTTTATTTTTGCAGAATGATGGCATTGTTGAGGCCTGCTTTAATGAAGTGAATTGGTGTAGTCTGCCATTGGCGGAACGCAAAATGTTAAAGTTTATGTTGATGATGGGCCAAAATACCGACGGTATGACAATTGGTGCCGTTATCCCTTTAACAATGGCTACCGCTTTGGATTGGACTAAGAAAATCTATAGTATGACCATGATGTTGATCAATTTCTTAAACTAAGAATACAATATTGGGTTGTTGTTGTTGTGTTTTGAATATAGACTATATGATTTGTTGTTGTGAAGAATACAAGAATGCCCTAAAAAAACTTTATAGTGAAACAAGAAGAAATGTCGTTAAGTTCGGTCAACTTTATCTGGTACCATCGCAAAAAGGGTTACAATTTTGAAAACAGTGCAGATTTCATATGAAGGGTGCGGTGTGTTCAACTTCGGTTCACACGTGCTTTATAGTGAAACAAGAAGAAATGTCGTTAAGTTCGGATGGGCTGCACATTTAAAATACCTATAATCAATCGGAAATAAAATCGATGTGAATGATACTCAATGATATGCTAGAAGAAAATAAAATATCAAACTACCGACTCTCAGGTTGGAAAATTGGGCTAAGAGGACTAAGATGAACATACCTAAATCCTGAAAATACCAACAATTATGGGCATCATTATTTTGGGATTATTTCAAAAAGAAGAAATAGATTGATAACTGTTGGTAGGAAGATTTAGAATGACAATGAATGGCAACCCAAATATATCAAATTGGAAAAAAATTCAAAAATGTTCTTAAAATATCAAATAATGGGGTGTATCGTTATCGGTCAACTTTATCTGGTACCATCCCAAAAAGGGTTACAATTTTAAAAATAGTGCAGATTTCATATGAAGCGTGCGGAGTGTTCAACTTCGGTTCACACCTGCTGATACCTCAACATATTTCATAGACTCTTCATATAGACCCTTCATATATAACCATTGATTTTTAAAAATATTTTTTAGATCCTTAGTGCTGGTCTCTAAGGATCTAAAAAAATATTTTTAAGAATCAACGGTTATATATGAAGAGTCTATGAAATATGTTGAGGTGTCAGCAGGTGTGGCGTGGATTTTACGAAATATTTTTAGATGACAATTAAAAGGCGTTTATTTAATTTTTGTGTTTTTGAAAAAAAAACTTAATTGGGGGAAATATCAGTATTTTTTTCTAATATTTTTCTAAAATTCTAAAAAAATATGTTCATTGCCTTCCTAAAGGCGTGCATTAAAAAAAATATCAAAAACCTTTCTCTATGGCTCGAATAGGCGAGGATTTATAAACAAATATTTTTTAAGGCCATCCTAAAGGGGTGAAATTATAAAAAAATAAGGCCATCCTAAAGGGGTGGATTTATAATATTTATATTTTTAAGGCCATTCGAAGTGCGTGGATTAAAAAAAAATATGACCTTCCACTGGCAAGGATTTATACAGGTTACAGGCTAGAATTTATAAAAAAAAAATATATTTTTAAGGTCCTGTGAGATGACCTTAAAAATATATTTTTCGATTTATTAAATATAATTAATATATGGTCTGTGCATATCGTAATATTTCTTCCAAACATAGATCCAATTAGAATATAGGGAATCTCGATCCTCTACTGATACCTTTCATACAAAGGGTCAACATATTGCAAACTTGCAAATTTCATATCGAGTGGAGTATTCTGTGCGAACGATTGAATGGGTATCACAATGTTTTTACAAAATCCAGTTCCAGAATATGGAACTCCTCGGTTCCATTCACTCAAGTTTCTCCACAAAGTGTTAAAATTTTGAAAAAGGTGGCAAAATTTCTAATGAAAATAATGGTGCATCCAATTTGATCTATTGAGTGTACATTGTAACCTGCTAAAAGCCTCCACAAACTTTATAATCGAAAAAAAAGTCGGGATGAGTGTATAATACATTTAGCATAGGCTGATGGTATGCAATATCTATCCGGCACTGCCGATAATTCAATTACAAATCTTATTTATTTCCAATAGAAATGCTGGCCTCCTCCTCCACTCCACCCCCTGCCAGCATTGCCGAGTGTCAAGTGTATAAACACTACAGAGTATCGAACAGCATTATGTCTGGGCTGGCCGACCCTGGCATTTGGATCTTCAATAAACCATGCAGATATTGTGAAGCTGTACAAAACAAACAAATGCATCCAACAACAACAACATCATCAACATCTCCAATGACTAACGTTGAAACTATTGAAAAGAAAAACTCCAGCTATACGTCCGTTATTTTTATAGAAAAACAACAAAAAAGGAGAAATAAATAAACAATATCTTCTCTGTAGAAGAAGTGGTAGCCGAGGTAACCTAAAAATAGAGAGTGTCGGTAGGTCCACAAAATACACACATTTCCAAGTGGAAAACAAAATAACACAAAACAGCCGATGAAATGCAGCTTGTCAGATAGGCAATCAGCCAGCCAGCCAGTCAGTTAGGCTGCCATCTAGCTAGTCATCCCGCAGCAACAGCACATTAAAGAAAATCAAGTTCATGCTAATGAATCTGGCAGAGTCCAAAAGACAAAGGCATAAATTTTACAACAACGGCAGCACCAGCAGTAGCATCTGAGCCTATACAAGTGATGACAAAACACCATAGACTTGGGGAAAACAGGCAGACAAACACACACAAAAAAAGGTCGCTGCACTTGCGCCGTATTAGGTCTCACCGGTCTTCGGAAGGGGAGGTAGGCAGGCAGGCCAACACTCGTCAAGTAACGCAATGACATGTGTGTACTTATTTATGTGCAGTTGTTGGTGTTGTTGTCATGGTTCA